AGATAACTTAATTAAATAATATAATATTTTTATAATATTTCAAATTTTCTTTTTCTTATTTTACAAGATAATGACTTTGTTAATTTAATTAAAAATAAAAATATCATATCTTATATTTCCTAATTTATATTTTTTTTAATTATATACCTAAATTTTAATTTTAAATTTCAAATTCCCCTATAATTCTACCTTTATAAGTGAGTTGCAACTTTATTCTTAAAACCCTACCTTCTTGAGTGGCATGCACTTGCCAAGGTTGTTGTCTTCATTTTGCTGAGTTGTCGTCTGAGTTGTTGCTGGGTTTATTGTTAAACACATAATATGGGCGTCGACACCATGAGTTAATAGTCCAGAATCAAACTTCCTGTTTCCTATTTTGTGTCGACACGTTATTCAGGTGTCAGTATTATACGTTCAGCATCCAACATTCAAGTTTTTTATTCTGTTTCAAATCCTACTTCTATTCCAATTAGGGTTTCTGAAACCTTAGAAATACCCATTCAAATTCAGAATTAAAAGAGCTTGGGAGGCTGGTGGCAGCCCTCTTTTGGATATTCTTAGAGATTAAGATAAAAATTTAAGAATTTGTTTATAATTTCTAAATCTTTTCAATTTTTACAATTGTAAAAGAGTATAAGAATTTGTTTATAATTTCTAAATCTTTTCAATTTTTACAATTGTAAAAGAGTATAAGAATTTATTTATAATTTGTACTTTTTTTTAATTATGTTCCTATTTATTTGGATATTAACATATTTTATATTTATGTTTTTTACTTAATGTTATATTTATTTATATTATCTCATATATTTAATAGTATTAAAAATTGATCAATCCGACCGAACCACACTGATCCGATTTAAATTGGATTGGTTTGGTTATTATATAATAGTGGATTGGATTGGTTTAAAAATTTTACTAACCGATTAAATTGGATTGGATTAAAAAATGTTAAAATCCGAACCAAACCACACCACAAACACCCCTAGCGCCTGGGTTCGTTCGAAGAACCCAGTAGATGGGTTTGAATGAACCCAGGCTTAAGGAACCCAGCTGGGTTTGCCTGGGTTCATTGCCTGGACCTGGGTTCGTCGAACCCAGCCTTGGGTTCGACGAACCTGG